TTAAAGTATTTGTTTTTTATCAAGTTAGAATGATCCATAACTTTGGTGGATTTATTATTGTACATAATTCCAATGAATTTGTTGTTGTATTTATAGTTATTAAAATGAATCATACGTATTTCTAATCAGTGAATACAGTACAATGATGGAAAGTAGGTACTTTTGTTTTTATTTTTGTTCTATTACCCTTTTGTTTACTTTTTTTTTGCATGTGGGTGTGTTAATAAATATAATTGAATATACTAAGTATATTATATATATTAAGTATGTGCAAATTGAATATATTGGTAAGTACGGGGAAAGTATATATTAATTCTTTTTATTTTAAATGTATAATAAAATGTAAAGTTATTTAAAGACTCTTTACTTTAAAATGATTTAATTTTAATTAAATTACTTTAAAATGAAAAGTTGGAAAAATAACAATTTTCAACTATTTTTTAATATCTATTTTAAATTTATAGGTGAAACACAAGATATTCATATACGCGTTACACATCATCATAATTTTTCACCAAGACGTAAGTATTTCCAAACATCTGAATGTTTTAACCGACAGATGTATAGAATTTGTCTTTTATACCATTAAATGTTTTTTCTTTGCTTATAGGTACAGTGCACAGTTGGGTTGTATGATGTGAAGTGAATTAGAAACTTGAAGAAGTGTAAATATAATTTCGAATTATTTAATTTAAATAAAAGCAATGTAGGGATATAAACTGTAAACATAGAGATGCATAAATAATGTAATAATTTAATTTAAATTAACTTAATTTAGTTTAATTTATCTTAATTTTCTATTCGTGATTAGTGCAAACAATGAAATTAAAACTGATCATTTCATTGTAACAGTTCTTTCTAATATGGATTCTTTTTTGAAGCGTTTCTATTTTATACCAAATATATTCCTAGCTTTTCAATGCGAGTACATTGCAATAAATGATATGCAGGAACAGGTAAGCAATAAATAAATACGCATTTATAATATATTTAAACAATATATCTTTTATCTATAATTATTTTTTTTTGATAAATAGATAACACAAAGTATTAGTTATATACATTAAAAAAAAGAAGTTAAATAGCTGTACCACGTTCTAAATTGAGTTTGGTCTCACGAGTATATTCACCATAAAATCTTTCTAATTTTTCATTGAATTTAGCATTTCGTTCATTAATATAATCAATATCTGCATCGTCATTATGCATTCTTCTTCTACTATACCTCTCTCGTTTAGCAATCCTATAAAAATCACAGTAAATATAATTTATTAGTATATTTTTAATAAGAATTTATACTACCAAAGTAAAAAATTTGAATTTATTAATTTATACTATAAAAATGAAAATTTTCTTACTGTTTTTCCAAATTGTCAACCATTTTATCAATTGCTTCTTTCTTATCTTCATGAAGGCCATGCAAAATTGTATTTTTATCCCCATAAAATGCAGGTCCAAGTTTTTCTTTGAGTTCTTCATATGATTCCATATTTGGTTTAATATTTTTAACTAATCTATTATATTGACGAACAGCAGCTTGTTCATAATCTGAAAAGCCTGGATCCGGATTTTTCTTATTTTTCTTTTTTCTTGCTATGCGCTCTGCTTCCGTAGCATCTATGTGAAGTAATTTAATTCTTTCATAATCTTCTCCCTTTTCTTCTGCAATTTTCCTAGCCGCTTCATCTTGTATTATCCATTCGGCTTGTCTTTTTCTTGATTCCCAATTTGCTGGAAGTTTATTTCTCTTATCCTCTTCAACGACTTCTTTGTGATTCTCTTGTCTTGCTTCATTCTACAGAGTTAAAACACTACATAGTACAATAGCAATAATACAATAATAATACAATTGAGGTTAATATACATTCAAGTGCAAACTATTTACCCTTTTCGTGTGAAGCTCCCGTAAACGTTTTTTCCATTCTACTTGTTTATCTTTTAAAGACTTTTCTTGCGATTCTACATTTGTTTCCATTATAGAAGAATTTTGTATTAATCGATAAATAAAATATTAATTGTCACTACTTTACAAACAAAAGTTGCTCGACACTAGCGATGCGTCATACACCGTAGTACTTCGATAATTATCGATTGCATTCGATATATCTTACATGAGAGTCGATACGTTCAAAGTAAAAGTTTATATTAGTTTGTATCGCGTTTATATTAGTACAAACAATCAAACATTCTTTAACGTTTTTTTTATTTTATTGCAAATTACTAGTGTTTTATTTAAAATTCTAATGTATAATATTTCGATATGACTCCGTAGAAAATGAAAAAAAGAAAAAGTAATAAATACTCAAACCACCATCGAATTAATGGTATTTGATTAACAATAAAAAAGAGAGTAGGAAGGCACATCGATGTTAAATATGGTAAGAGATCTATCAATTCTATTTTCACATGCAACCTACTTCAGCTCGATCCCTTCTTTCGAGTGGCGGCAAAGCAGGACAAAAGTGCGATTGCGCGATCATCGATAGAACTAATCATGATTAGAATATTTTCCGTAAAGTGCTTATGGTCAATTTACCGATTGACTGGAATACATGCGTACATACGTATGGTAAAATAATGTTCAGAATCGTAAATTATGAAAGATTGTTATTGTAAACCGTGTACGACGTAGGGTAGTAGAAAATAGATTCTAAAAGCTTAGTGTTCCGTTGGTAGTGCCGTTATTGGGTGGTGAGTCTAGAGCGCGCACTCGGGAAGTCATGTCGAAAAATACCGAGCGAAGGCGAGGATAACCGAATTAAACCGAATTAAGCCGAGTCATATGCGAGATCGTGGCGCGAGGGAGCGACCCACGAGTACCCACGAGCTCGCAACGTCCGCGAGTGAGAGAGCCACCGAGGATCGTTCTTCTTCGTGCTCCTTCGTCACGACGCACGATCGATCGGGCTTTATGGAGACCCTCGAGGCGAGCCACGCGTGCCGCCTATGCGGCAACAAGTCCGGTATCTCCATAAATATCTTCGACAAGAAGAAGAACCACATCAGAAAGATCAACGCCGTTCTACCGATCATGGTACGTGCCGTTTTTCTCGCAGCCGATGCTGTTATACTCTCACCCATATAACTTAGAAACTTCTTATTCTTTGGCGGGCATAAATGTGGCTATTATTATGGTCCTTTTGCGATATATCCCTATCTTCCGTATCCCTCTCTCTTTCTTTCTCTCTCTCTCTCTATCTCTATCGCTCTCTCTATCTCTCTCTATCTCTCTCTCTTTTTCTCTTTCTTTTATTCCCTGTCGATCTTCTCCGCTTTCTTCTCTCCTTCTCTTTTCTTTCTCCTTCCTTCTACGTTTCTCCTCGCACCTCTCCACGCTTTCATATTCCAACTAGGCTACTTACTCGAATTTACGGCACACGGTAGACGGACGCGTCCTCTCGTTGATCCTAATACGATGAAAATTTGATTGAGGATGAAACGGCGACTCGATATATTCGATCGATGTGCATTGTTAAACTGTTCTATAGGAACTCCATATACACTCGAGTTAGAAAATAGGCGCGCTTGGCTCTTTAAGGGTAGGCCGCCAAAAAGTTAGGTTATCGTAACGTCACGTCTGCAAAATTGCTTATAAACACAAAGACCAAATAGTCAATGATGTTGCGTAATTTTAATCGATAAATTATGCCCAACGTATATTGATTTTTTTTTCTTATTCCTCGCCAAAGATATTAAATATACGTGGGTATATCATGTTTTCTTTTTTTTTTTCTTTGCTTTTTTTTCCTTTCTTTCTAGGAGCCATGTTTGATTAGTTTTAGGGATATTATGAGGATATAAAAGTTTAGGGATATTATGAGGATAAAAAAATATTTTTCTAATTTTTTAAACTTTTCTACAATTTTATTGTTATTTTAAATATCGTCGAATATTATCGAAGCATGTTCAAACGAAATTTTCGAAATATCGATAGAAAAATTTTTAATTAATATTGAACATTAAATTTTTTTATTAAACTGTAATATTTCTAAATTGATCGTTTAGAAAAGAATTTGATGGTTTCAGGTGCATGAAATGGATTTATTACCGAAGTTGATGTGTCATTTGTGTAGCTTCAAGCTCGAAGAATTTTACAAATTTTATTTGAATTGCTTAAAAACGGACGCACATTTAAAAAGTCAATTGTCCTGGATGAAGAAAAAAGAAGAATCGAAGGAGAGGATCGGTATACCTATGGTTCAAATAAAAAATGTCAAGATCAAGGTCGAACCGATCGACTACGAAATGTATGATTTGGATCCGATCGTTAAGAATGTCAATTATATAGATTCCATGAAATCCAGAACATTTCCCATGAATAGATCATCAAGGATATGTGGAATTCGCGAAAAGATGTCATATAAAACTTATTGTCAATGTTGGTGCGATAAAAAAAATCAAAGGGAACGGTCGATATCGAACGAATATAAAAAATCTTGCGCTACAAAGAAATCTACAAATGATGAAACAAACGTGGAAACTAGAACTGTTCCTGATGATTCATTGGAAATCATTAGAAATGATATTTTACCTAGTCCTTATTCCAAAAGAATTTCTATAAATAATTTATCTGAACGAAAGAACGAAATGATCGGCACGAATATATCTCGGGATAACGATAAAATCTATAGAAATCGTCGCATAAAAGGCGAGGTATTAAAGAATCCCTTGACCTGCATTTTACGACCTAGAAAAATTTCCGTTAATTATGTAGAAACGAGGAAGAAATTACACAGTACCTTTAAAGTGCATAACGGTGCAAAGTCAAGCGACGATATTCGTAGGACGATGTCGTCCTTGGCTGAGGCAACAACGAGTATTACACCAACGATAAAAATCGAGAAGGAGGAGGAGATAGAAGTGGTGAATGAGGAAGAGAATGAGGATACGAAAGAGCAGGGCGAAAAAGAGGAGAAGAAAGAGAAGGAAGAGGAGGAGGAAGAGGAAGATGAAGAAGAAGAAGAAGAAGAGATGAAGAAGATAACAAATTTCGAAGGCCGTGCGTTGAGACCGCGTAAAGGAACGATCAATTATAACGAAAGAAAAAGAAAAACTTTTGATAATTTGTATCGGCCGTTATCGCACAATATTAATCTTGTCAATGGTAAAAAGCAAAAACTTGAAAACGTTACACGCGAGTGGAGATTAGCGAACGAGAAGACGAAACAAAAGACAAAATTCATGGAAAAGAACGTTAAGGTGAAGATAAAGGAAGAAATCATCGACGATCTCGAGAATATGATTGTTGATAATTCCGAGAAGAATAAAACGCGTAAATCGGTTAAAAATTCATCCCTTAATATCGACGATATATCCCAAAAAATTGTTCCGAAAACGACCGAATCGAAATTTATACCTACAACGAGTCATTTACGAGAATCCAGGGATAGTTTGCATTTGTCTAATAAATTAGAATCCTTGCCAAAGGTATTAAGCAAATCTAATAAAATAGTCGCGAAATGTAAGAAGAGTTTACCTATGGTGAGCCAATCGTTAAAGTATTTAAGGAGTCACAATTTTTATCTTAGAAGTGGTAAAATCAAGAAATTCGCCGATGTCGATATATTACCAGAGACAACGAGACATAATGCGAAACAAGTCAACTCCCGAAATAGTCTAAAAATTAAGAAAGATCTTTCAAATATCGATGATACTTCTTTTTCTAGTACAAATGTTCCTTCATCTGTTAACTTGAAACATTATTGCGAACGATGTAATATAAGCTTCGCAAACAAAGAACTTTACAAGTTGCATACTTGTTACGGTTGATCTCTTTCTCTCTCTCTTTCTCTTTCTCTCTCTCTCTTTTTGTTTTTCCTTTTTTTATTTCCCATTATTTTTTCTTTTCTCTTCTTTTTACTAGGTACGATGATCTCTTCCGTTCATTCAATTTTTCTTTCTTTTTCTTTTTATTTTGTATTATGATATAGCACAAAGGTTAACGTATTTCTCATTACCCATATGTTGTACACGTATACCACACAACTCGATCGAGCGCGCACGTGCGTGCATGCACGTACGCGTGCGCGTTAACATTTTTATTAAACTATCTAAGAGTTTGTATATACGGAGATTAATATTGACATATCGTGTGTTAAAAAGAGATATATTCATCAATAGATTATGATAAATGCGTAAGGCCAAAGCAATTGTAAAGTTGATTTTAAAGATAGTACCTTTATATATATATATTTTTTTTTCTTCCTTTTTTCTATTTTTCTTCTGATTAATAAGTCGTATCTTAGATAATGAACGATAAAAACGGACCATACGTACATATATTTTTTTTTTATTTATTTTTTTTTTCTTTTTTGTTTAAAGATGCAGATCATTTACTAATTACTACCACTATTATTTCTTCGTGCAGGAAAATATACAAACACGCACATACATACATACAACATATATACATGCAACATACATACATATATACATACATACATACTTGTTACTTGTTACTTGTTTATCCGTAGAGTATACGGACGTGATACAAATGTAATGCAATACGCTTAAGAATATAAATAAGAGATTCACATATCGCCTTTGTAATTGAAAAAAAATATATATGTATATAAATATTTTATGATAAAGAAAAGATATAAAATAGATTATATGATTAATTTTTGTGATTTTTGTGATATATATATATATATATATATATATATATAGTTATGCTACCTGTATGTGTGTGTGTGTCTGGTAATTGGTAATTGGTATAAACAATAAACGAAAAATTTTAAAAAGCGAGATTATGTATATTATTGCAAAAAAAAACAAAAAAGAAAAGAAAATAGATTTTCTATTTCAAATCGAATTTATAAAAGAAGTAATCAAATTGCGTGTGCGAATTATTCGATCATAAATGTAATGCACATTAAATATTATATTAATCAATGGAATAGAAAAATAATTTCTTCATTTGCATATTTGAATAGTGATATAAGAGTATGACATTTTAAAAGATTAAATACTTAGAGTGCCTTGTTTATTAATTTACGATTGAGAGAGAAAGAGAGATATAATTTTTTACAAGATATTTTAATAACTTCGTTTTTTTTCTTTTTTTTTTTTTAATTATTTCGTTAGGTACTTCTATGTTGATTGGAAGATTCGTTTTTGTATAGCAATTGAAATTTGAAGAAAAAAAAAGAAGGGAAATTTTTACTTCGATTACCTAAGAAAAATAATAAACGTTCGTAACGTACTTATAGATTTTTGATCATTGTTGGGACTAACCTGAAAATGTGCTTAGGACTTGAAGAATTTAAAAAAAAAAAAGAAAAGAAAGAAAAGAAAAAATGTATGAAGATCTTATCGAACGAATATGGATAAATAAACAAATTATTGTTTTATTCAACATTATGGTAAAACAAAAAAAAAACAGAAAGGAAAAAAGTAATCGTTCTTATCAATGATTGTTTTTAACGCTGATACTCATTAGATCACGATCTGTTATTTTTTGATATTTAATCGTAAGACAATCAACGATCAAGGGTTGAT